ATCTATTTTATTATAACTCTACCTTAAAAGTAAGGGATGAAAGTAAAGCAACTATTCAGAATTTTGAGGAATGAGATTTTAATAATTACCTTATTATTCTGGCTGAGAGGAGTTGCTGTATATTTATATCCAGGTTTCTAAGTTTTGAAGAAAATGAAGTAATGTTAAAATACTAAAATGAGGTGCTAGAATACATTAAACAATTTTTTAAGAGGAGACTAAAACAAGAGAAACTACTTGATGGTGGCACTCTGATGAAGGGAAAGGTGGACAGATCAATGCAATAGAATGGAAAACCCAGAAATCCATGCCCCGTTTCCTGGTGGCTGTATGACGGCTCTGCAAGATGCTACCAGGGGGGACCAGGAAAAGGACACAGGGCATACTCCCCTGTATTATTTCCTCTTTATTATTTTGTACAATCAAACATGAATCTATGATTATCTCCAAGTGAGAAATTCCATTTTTAAATTCAATTAAAATAATAGAAAATGAGATGTAATGCTTCTTGTTTGTAAATAAAATACAGAATTTACAGTTTTTGTGGTTTTCTTTATGAAGATGACTATTTGGAAAGTCCAACTCTTAGAAATTTCTTGGGTTAATTGGGCTGTCAGTGGATGGGTGCTGACTGCACACAGGAATTGCCTAAAGGACACTGTAAGAGTACTGGCATTTAGTTACCCAGGGACCTTTTCAGGGTTGGAGGGTGAGGTGTCTCTTGTGTATGTACTGCAGGTCATCTGAGCAGTGATCGTACATGGGGTAAGGAAAAAGAACCTACTTTTCCCCTATTTATGTCTTAGTCTTGAAAATAAGATTGCCAATGCATGGATTCAGCTTGACTTGACTGCAGCTACCTCGAGTCTTAATTGCCCCATAATTTCCCCTATGTTTTCGATGCAAACTTTCCCAGCATACTGTATGAGGTGTGAGCCAAGAATCTGGTGAATGCCTACATTATCACCACAAGACACATCCACTAACTCTCCCTCACCCCGCCTCCCTTCACACACTCTCGTTGCAGTGTCCTCACCGCTTTCCGAAACAGCTCTGGAATCCTCTTTCCTGAGTGACTTGTGTTGTACTGTCATAGCTGCCTTGACGTCCTGAGTTGATTTGAAGAGTGTCCTTCTCGTGTTTGCTTCGACGCTGAGGAGAGGCCAGGAGTCACACAGCACCAGATCTGCTGAATAAAGTGTATGAGGACACAGCATCGTGCTTTTCCTTTTCACTGGGTGGCACCTGGAAGCAGCATTCACCATATTTTTTGTCACACCTCATAAGACAAAACTGTTAGAGAGGTATGGGGAACTTTACTACTGGACCTGGTACCAGGAAAGCCCCTGACCCTTTGATATTAGCTTACCATGAACTGGTTTAGATGAAGTCACTTTGTCTTCACCGATACACGTCCCCTCTTTGTGATCCAAATCGAAGAGATCCACTTGGTCTTCTGCTACCAAGGCCCATGCTTCTGCAAGGAAACTGCACTCTGCACAGTCCTGGATTGTCTGCCTATTGTCAGTCTCAGGGCACATGGGGGTCTGTTGTCATACACTGGGATCAGTGTGTTCCAGAACAGCCAAAAATGCACAAAATTGGGACACAGCATCAACACATTTGCCTGAGATTATTTTTGCACACTATATAAGCAAGTGATCCAACCAGGACATTATCATGGTGGTGATCTTTGTGCAGCGTTATCTTTCTTTTATTTCTGCCCTGAAGTACGTCCTTTCCGTGTCTCAGGAGAGAGTAACGCCATGCACAGTGGCACAGGCCCGCAGTCCCTCCTGGGATGGCGGGGGCAGGACGATTGCTTGAGGCCACGTTGGGTAAGATACTGCAGCCCCGCCTTTAAAAGAAATCCCTTGTGGAAGAGATTAGCATTATAATAGCGAGCTGGTAAGGGCACTGCATGAAATTTTCAAACATAATTTCATATACTTTCAGAGCCATCGAAGAATACAAATTGTTAGAAATGTCTCATAATATGCTTTTTAAGGGGAAGTGGCAAAAAGTACAGAAAAAAACTATCATTTTTCTCTGCCATTCCAGTCCTACCATCTGGCTTTTGTGTGATTTTCCTGAGCAATGTAAGTCTCTTCACAATTCCCTTGCCTCTGACCTAGTCCTCGCCTCCTACCTCTTCATCACTCACACTCCCCCAGACACATCTTCCTAGTGAGCAATCTTCCCGCCCGCCTGCAAAGCAGTCATTCGTGCTAAGTGCCTAAAATATAAATTCTAACCCGTGATGCGCATTCAAGTCCCTCTCAAGTCTAGACCCAGCCTCGGTAGCAGTCCTGAGCCCACCGCTCCTGAGTACACACCGCATGCTCTCTGCCAGCCATCCTATCCACTTCTCAGAGCAACTGTGCATTTTCTCCGGACGGTCCTTCCGCCTAATGCCCGGCGTGGTCTCTGCGTGGTTAATGATCTCGTTTCCCTCTGAAGCTGTCCCTGCATCCTACACTGCTCCTCACTCCCCGATGCTTCCACGGGACTCCATGTGCAGTAGTAACTACTGGTTCCTGACGCTGACCGTGTATCAGGCACTGTGCCTAGCTAAGCATTTCACAGACGTGACCTCACTGAATCTTCCGGCAGCCCTATGAGGTCATGTGGCATTTTCAAGTTGTCTTCATGCATTGTTTTCATGTCTGTCTGCTATTAGAAGGGGCCAGTCTTGTGCATCTTATCTGAATCACTTCCTACTGTAAAATATGATCAAATCAGTAGCTCAACAAGTGTTTGTTGGAGTGAAAAAGATAAATACAGTAGAGCACTTTAAAAAGTAGCTTGTCAGAGAGGACCGGTTTTTCACACTTCCACACAGCCAGACGCTGGGAATATACTAACATCCTCGCCCAGGTCTCCCTCTCGTTGCCTCTGGCCGTGCTGTCTGAAGTCCCAAGGCTCTCAAGAATCCCTTCCCCCTGTTTTTAATTCTTACTGGTCCAAACTGGATTACACTTTTTCTTGCCTCTTATTTGTTGCACCCCTCTACTTTTAGATAATCTCCTCTGTACTACCACATGTCTTGGAAGAGACCCATTGGTCTAAAATACCAGTCTTAGCATATATTTCCCATGCTCAAGAAAGAGACATTTTCTAGAAGGAATCCTTTCTCCTCAGCCTGAGTTTCAGAAATCGCCACAATCTGGCTCCAACTTAATCTCGCACTACATTAGAACCCTGTGGTCCAGTCTAGAAGAGCCACATTGTCACCACTGTGCCTTTGTTCGTTAACGTGGTCCCCCTCGCACTCCTCTTTCTCTACGGTGTCCCTAAAAACTGCCTTCCTGAGGCTTTCCTGGAACACACCAGCCATAAATGACCTCCTTTTCTCCCTGCATGCTTATTCCACTGACAGAGTGTTTAGGAGAGACATTTTGAAATGTTTGAATTATCTCCCATATTCCAACAGGAATTAGCCCTTGGAGACATCAAGTTCAACTTTTCATAACTGCTCACCTTAAAAAGGATCCAGTGCAATTAAATTTAAACTGAGTTGGATGGGAGTGTGTACGCTTTGGTATTTTGTAAATCTTCCCTAATGATTCTAAAGTGAGAACAGGGTTTCCATGATAGGGCCTAATGTTATAAATATACAACTTTGAGGGGGGGAAAGCTGCCACCACAATAAGCCACTCCTATGGTGAATCTATTCTGAATCATTTATCAGATTACAAGTCTGGGTGAAGATCTGGACACCAGAGCAAGATACATAAATGCAGCATTGAGGGTAGTAGAGAAAAGTTTACAAAGGGAAGCAAAGGACAGTCACTGAGTTTAACACATATTTTACCAATCAACAAATTATTAGAATCCTTGGAGGAGTTCATAAGCTGGAGCTGGTCAAGGAGGAAATGGGTCATCATGATCAATTTCATTCCAAAAATATGAAATTCTAACTAGAAGGATATTTTATATAAACAGTATTTTGCTATGATCTTAGCATGAAAGTCAAGATAGAACAATATAACACCCTAGTGAGGTCAGCATAATTTCTAGGTCAGCACGAATTACCAAGTGGCCAAAACTCAATGTCCAATTACTAGTTCTATATAATGATTTAATTAAGGATGTCATTATAAGGAAGCAGCATGGGATTCTAATATTTACAAAATATGTATTTTAAGGCTTTCTTCCTGATCACCCCACACCTTTCTCAGAAATCAAATATGTCCACATCCTGTTTTAAATGTTGTTGCTACCATACTTCTTAATATTTTTTTTTTATATTGTGGTGTTTCAGGGCTCATTTTTTATCTATTAGTTCTAAGCTCCTTAAGATAAACAGTATTGTAGCACTGTGTTCATCTTTATATTCCCCATAAAAACCCTTCTTCAATTTAGAACAATTTAGTTTTACTTATTTGTGTTAGGCTGTATCAGATATAAGTATCAGATAAAAGCTTGACTACAAATAATAGTAGGCTCTGTCATGGTGGTTTAAACTGTGAGTTTCTCTTATGTAACAAGAAGCCCAGATATAAGTAGTGTGATGGTAGGAAGCCAGTAGGAATACATATTTTTTTTCCTCTTTCTGCTTCTGTCATCCTTAATGCCCGGCTTGTAACCTCATGTTCACTGGCTGCTACACCTCTAGGCATTGCCTATGTTGCAAACAAGGAGACAAATTCAAAAGATCAAAAGGAACATTCCAGCTCAGTTTATCCTTTTTAAAAGCTATCCTGGAATCTCAGCCAGTAGCAGCTCATTGATCAGATCTAGACACATTTTTATCCCTGGACCAATACTAGGAAATGGCTAAGGAGACAGGAATTAGGGATAAAAGTTGAGTCAGCCAGAAATGTTGTACCACAAGGTTTGATTATAATTAGAATTGAAAAGAATATTAAAAATTATTTGGCATGCATACTGAGACCTGACCTGAGAAAACCATGGCTTGTAAATGTCTGAAATCCATAGGCAGGTAATGCTGGAACAGAGTCTAGACAAAGATCCAGCTATTAAAAGTCCTAGGCCATTGTGCATTCCATATATCCGTACATGAACCATTAGGAGGACTTACTTTAGAAACTACAAGTCATTTCCAGAGGCAGGATTTAAAATATTGGAACTTTGCTTTAGCTGTCTCCAAAATAACTTTCTGAGTAACAAATGGGAAAATAGACAAAACAGTACTTCCTTAACTTGAAAAATGACAAAATAGACTATTCAAAATTTCCATAGAACATGTCGTTCATCAGTTATCCTCTTGTTATTTTAATGTGAAAGACTTTTTATAAATCCTAGTGCAGAACAAATTCAATACACAATGAAAACCCTGAAGTGTTCAAGTTCACGGGGGGCATAAGCTAAAAGGGTGTATCTCTCTCTCCCTGGCTCATCCCCTTTCTATGTGCTTCCTGGTCCACGATGTGAGCAGTCCTCCCCTGCCAGACCCTTCCACCAGCCTGTTCTTGCCTCAGGTGACTGCACTGAGTTCTGTAAAAACTGAACCACAAGAAACCTCTCCCCTTTAAGTTATGGGTGTTAGGTGTTTTGCCCTTGTGAGGAGAAAGTGACCAAGACAGATTTTGGTATCAGGTAAGTGGGATCATTACCATAATGTACCTGACTTTGTGGTTTAGGAGCCTCTGGAACTGGTTTACAGAAGATATTTGGAAAGGTTTGGAGATGCTGACTAACGAAGCCTTAGGATCTGTGAGCAAAGCTTGATGGGACATTACGGTTGGAGCTCAGAAGGCCAGAATGCAAACAGAAATGCAGAGAGTAAAGACCAGGCTTAGGAAGTTTCAGTTGGAAACAAGGACTCCACTGACAGTTGGATGTGAGACTCTGTGTTATTCTCTGGCAGAAAATTGTCTATATTTTGCCCATGTCCTGAGACTTTGTGGAAGGTGGATAGAAATGGCAGTGGATTAATCTAGGAGAGGAAATTCCAAGGTCACCCAGTGTTGGAACTGTGGCATGATTCTGCTGGCAGGTTTTAGTCCAATCTACAAGGAGAAACAAGAGCAAAAAAGAAAACACATGCAAAATTAGGGCAAGCAAAAGCATAGAGAGTGAAAATATTCACATTGAAAAGAAGCCAAATACTTTACACCAGGACAATAGGAAAGATGCCTTGAGGGCATCTCAGGAATTGGCAAGACCCTACCCTTCACAACATTGAAGGTGTAAAACTGAGAGAATTTCAGAAGAAGCACCAGTGAGCCAAGCTCATTCAGGGACAACTAGCAAAGAGTTTTCCAGAGTTCATCCATCCAGGCATTTGGAGGCCTCTGCAACCAACCAGAATCCAAGGGGGTTTGGCTATTGCTTGAGCTGGTGGCAGACTTGGCATCCTCCACATGATGCTGGTTTCACAAGCATGCAAAATTCAAGAGTTGTGGGGTCAGTAAGGGTTCCACCTAGATTTCAGAAAAAGGCCTGGGAGTCCAGGCCATGTGTGCCTAAGAGGTCAGACCACATGAGTAAAGCTGAAAGTGCAGTGCAGATCTGAGGAAGCTGAAGATACCAGGAACATCTGCTGAGGAGAGCTGTAGGCAGTGAGCAGAGCCCACCCAAGACAGAGGTCATGTGGGCATAGGGAAAGAGGTGCCCAAGGAATCTGAAGCTCACATATCACCACAACCTCCTGTAGTGGTGTACACAGAGCTACAAGATTTAATATTTGCCCTGTTGGTATTCAGTCTTGCTTAATGCAATTCCTTTATATCCCCCATTCCTCCCTCTTGGAATGGGACTGTTTACCCTGTGCCATTGTATGCCAGAAGTGTTAAATTTTCTTTTTTGATTTTTACAGAGGCTCACAACTGAGAACTTTGAGTTTCAGAGAGACTTTGGACTTAAGCTTTTCAGCAATGCTGAAATTTAGGTCTTGGTGATTCCTAGAGATGTACTAAGTGCATTTTGCACAGTGAGATGGACACAAATCTTTGGGAGCTAGGGGTGGGATGTTATGGTTTAACCTAGAATGTCCCCCGGAAGCCTCATGTGTTCAGAGGTGGAGCTTGTGGGTGGTGATTGGATCATGGTGGCACTACGGCTGACTCGCTGTCACAAGGCAAGTCCTGGTTGCAGGTAGATCACTGGGGATGTGACCTGTAAGGATACAGGGTGTAACCTCCCTCCCAGACTTCTCCCGACTCTCTCTGCTTCCTGATCATCATGATGTGGCAGACTTTCTCTGCCAAACCCCTCCACCATGCTGCTCCTGCTCTGAAGTCAGCTGACTGTGGACTGAATCTTCTGAAAACTGCGAGCTGAAAGAAACCTCTTCTTTAACTTGTGGGTTCGTGGTACTTTGTTCCAGTGAGGAGAAAGGAACTAGAACAATGCTGTGGATATTCCCTGAGTCTCATGTGCTCATAAGTGTGGTCTTAGAAGAGGTCTGGACCATAGGTGTGCTCCAGTTCACTTGACTTTAGCGGGTGGGGCCAGATCAGGACAGGCAGGTCTTCGGGGTGGGACCCAGCAGGCTCTATCTCCCTCCCCGGCGCCTCCCTTCTCT